AAAAAAATTTTTTTAAAAAAAAAAAAAAAAAAGGTAAAAAATATTTGATACTTTAGAACCAATATCAAATATCGTTCACGTCCAACGATACTGTTAAGAAACTAGATGCCAATACATAGATCAAGAGAAACCAGGCCTAAATGTTTAAATATTACTTGCATTCATAGATAATAATTGACATTTACACAGATGACATCAATCCCTTGCCTTCTCCTGGAGCCTCATAGCTCGTCCGCTCTATAAACTTAAGATCGACGCTTCAATACCAGTCTACCATTCAAGACCTGTTCATTTCAATTGTTTTTTCTCAAGTGGAAAGGCGGGTGAAGGAGAAGTTAGTTGACTACTATTACTCCTCTTAGAAAGTTGTCAGATCTAAATCATTTGCTATCCTTTTACTATATGTGACTGGAAGATAAAAACTGATGGAATTACGGATGCAAAGCAGTCAAAGTTAACTAAATTAGCCGCTTTACTTGAAGAACTCAGTCAACTAAACCGAATAAAGTTGTAACTTGTAAATAAAAAGAAAAAGTTGAAAAAAAGAACGTTTCTTGACATAAAAAAACGTTTTGAAATGATATTTGTGAATTTTTTTTCGACTAGCAAACAAGCCGTAAATTTGTTGCTCTGTGTATACAACAACAACAGAGAAAATCAAACGATTAACTCTGCTACTGGCGCAAAAAAAAAAAAAAAGCAGTACCTGAGAAGCAAAAAATTTCACTTTCTAGAGTAATTTTGGAAAAGTCTTTTTACTGCTAAGAATTTAATCACGATATTTGTTTCTTATATTTATTATCTTACAATTTGCACAACACGATAAAAATGATAAAAATAAAAATAGCAATGATGGCAACAATAAGATCAATAATAGTAAAAATATAATAACAAAAATGATAACTGTAACAAAACTTTGTGACAAAGTTTATTTTTTTTTTAGAAATTTCAAGGCACGAAGAAGAATATTGAAAATACGGAGCATTTGAAAGAGGAAGAAGAAATTTGAGCAACATAAGGTGTGACAGTTTGAAACGGGAAGAAAATTACCCCAAAATACCATCCCAAAAAATTTGCACCTTAAAACATTACGGGTCTTTTTTCGTTCCTATGTGTGCGTGTATGAGTGTGTGTTCTGTTAAATAGTGCCCCTTTTTTTGTGCTTCATTATTCTTTGCCATTTCATTTCATCAACTAAGCTATTTAATATTGCAATAAAACATTGAGAAGTGGTCTTAAAAATCAACTGATTTTCACTAAAATGTGAGTGAAAAAAACGGTAAGACTGAGAACAAACATAATAAAAAAAGATTTTTTTGAAGGCAACTAAGCTGCAAAATAAAATACAAAAAACAAATCTGTATCATTTGCAGTTTCAATTCAGACTACATCTTTTTGATGTTACGCTGCTGTCTACAGCACATTTCTTTCTATTTCTTCTTGCGAGAAGCCTAGGCTTTTTGCTCACTTCTGGGATAACAGCTGTCCAATTTCAGTTAGAGCCCCTAAAGCGCAGAAAACATTAGACACCGTTAAAAAGATTACTAAAATTGGCTTAAGACCAAAAAAATTGCTTCTAGCTAAATTCTGAACAGTAGTTTAGTAGCCAAAAAACTGTACTACACCTCCAACAATTGGTTGAATAGGAACTTACAAGTAAAAGGTAATAGGAAATATTTTTCAGGAATAGTTGAACGGATAGTCAAATTGCTTATGGGTATAAGAATCACAATGACACTTGTATTTTGTTCAACAATGAGGCTGTTAAACGTTTAGGACGACAAACTATTCAAGAGCAAGATTACGCACTAAGTTGATGACGTTTTGACAAGATAACTGTGAACGTTAATTGTTTTTGATCAATACATTTCCCCTTTTTCTCCCCAGCTATTACAGATTATAGTGTTAAGCAGAGCAGAAACTGTTGCCAATAAGAGACAGTCAGAAAGATTCAGTGACAATAGATAATGTTGTAGTTAAGACGACGTAGAAGCTTGTCAAGTAAGCAGTGCCGCTGAATACAATAAGAAACTATGTAGTAGACAAATTTTGTAGCTTCCTTAGGTCAGTAAACGACAATTGATGTTTAACAGAAACGGTAGGTTTATCTTAAAGCTCACAGTCAAGGCATCGTTATTTTGGATTATTTGACAGTTCAAAACAAAGAAGGAAAACATGTGTACACCAGTTGATTAATAGCAAAAAAGTCAACTCTCAGTCGGAAAAAAAACTTTTGGATTTTGCAAAGGAAATTGAATACACAAAATAAGCAGTAACAAATTATTCGTTATTATCGTTCTTAGCGGCACTATCAAACAGCAGTATTTTCGTTGGCAGTTGGCAGTTGCTGTCGGTGACAAGTGAGATTCAGAGGGAAATGGCAGAGGGAAGCGGGAGGAAGAGGGAGGAGAAGAAACGACGGTAATAAATAATCTGTTGTTAGAACTTGAGTAACAACAGTTCAAGACTGTATCTGCCATTCTTGCCTAAATCTATCGGATTTAATGCTCTGCTTCCGATACCGTTGTAATATTTAATTCAAAAAACCCCATACAACGAGAAAACAGTAATCGAATAAGACTTAAATTTTTTTTTGAAAAAGCATGAAAATAAAAATAGAAAATTTAAAAGATTGATATAAAATTATAATCAAAAAAAAGGCTGCTTACCGTCGCCGTTTGGCTCTGTTATTTTAATAACGTATTAATGAAAGAAGGAGAAGAAAAAAACGAAAATAACATCAACAACAACAGCAATCCAGCAAAAAAACACTTATTTTCAAACTACTTTGGTGATTTATTTTAGAGTATTGCTTAGTGTTGTAGACAGAGTTTTAAAAAAAAGTGACCAACGTTCTTAAAAGCTTAAACACACACACACACACAA